CTCGATGATCTCCAAGGTCTTTTCCAACCAGCTATAATTGGTTTCCAACCAATCCACAGAACGATTCTGTGATTCTGTGATTCAGCAGGCATGGTGGGGATGGGGCTATGGTTGGGCTTAATGACCTTGATGGTCTTTTCCAACATACTGATTGTATGAGCCAGCCTTTAGCTGGCACAGCTCTGCTGCAGCAGGGGTTCCTACACGAAGTCTGAAGACTCCTGGTGAAGCTTCTGGTGAGAAGACGGTAACCGGCATCGGCACCGATCAGCCGGACGGTTTTGGTGATCTCTTTGCAGCACAGCAGATCCAAGGATTGCAGCAATGCTGCCTTAAATATTCCTTGGTACCTCCTCAACCTTGTGTGAGTTCTGGGATGGTCCTCTGTAAAGTGGCTCTCCAAATGGCAGGAGAATGAGTGACTGCCAGGAGTCCGTGTGTCCTCAGGAGGAGCATTGATTCCCTGAATCCATCAAGTGACCAAGAGCTGCTGGGGCAGGAACAGCCCCTCGGTTTCCTTACCCCCTGGAGCCCCAGCTAGGCTCCCTAGTCRGCATTTCTCCTCTCCCCCTTTTCCAAGTCAGAGCACATGGGACTCAAAAATCCTTACAGCTTTAGAAACCCCAGCCACTGATTATTTCGCAGAGCCTCTTGACCTACCAGATTGGTCCGTCTGTGCCAGGCAGGTCATTAACTTCCAGTCTAATGCACAAGGGAGAACATTGTGAAATGACTGCGTAAAGAGGCATCGGAGTAAAGGTGATTTGGGGCTATTTGCCTGGCGAGGAAATGGAGCCGGCTCGAGCTTTTATTTTACYTGACTCACGGCTGCATCGCAGGGATCAGACTGGGGAAAAAAAAAAAAAAAAAAAGGAATAATATTCTGTTTTCAGGGCCGTGTCTGTGCATCCCTGGTGCCACAGTGGCACCGTGCTGCTGCGGGGGAAGCAATTTAAACCACGGAGSTGAAAATTATTGGGTTCGGTAGCTTTCTGTAAAACAACAACAGGCTGAGGCTTTGCAAAACTCACCTGAAAATGCCTGTCGCTGTGTCTCGGGGSTAAAATAAGGCCACAAAAGCTTTGGCTTTCTGGCCCAGTGGTTGCTTTACCAGTAATAGGGTAATTTTAAAACTTCATACAATAAACACAGGCCAAAGCCACACTGACAGGAAAGGCTCTGCATAGCACATGCAGGTTTGTAAAGCAGTGACGCTGTGGCTGTGTGGTGGCAAATGCTGTGCTTTTCTATCAGTAATAGCAGCCTGAGCAGGTCTGCAGAGGAAGATCAAGTTCTTTAATTAGCAGTGAAATAGCTGGCCTAAAGCTAATTTTGAAAGTGCCTTCATTCTGCTCCAGGGTTAACGGTCCCTGCCTCTGAAGAGGGGGATTACAGCAGCTTCACCATCACAGACCAGCTGCCCACATTGGAGCTCAGCTTCAGCAGCCAGTCTGCACCCCCAGGAACTGCCTGAGCTTATAGATCCCAGTAACTTGCTCTTCCCTCTTGGTCTTATTCCTCTCCTCTGGGATCAGCCACAGGTGGGGCCAGGGACCCTATGGCCCTTTCCAACCTAAGATATCTCCTGACTCCCCATAACAAACTGGATTTTTTTCCAGGAATGGGAAAGATGCAGCCAAACTCTTACTGTAAACCACTCACCTCCAAACCTTAATAACAGCTAAACCCAAATTCCAGGAGACCACCCACCCCCCTGCAAGTCCTCCCAGCCTGGCAGGACTTAAAGACCTGTTGCTGCTTGCTGAGGGAGTGTGAGATGTGCAGCTGGTATAAATTAGGGAGAGCTTAGGGGCTTTGACAGAGTTACTCTGAATGAGGAGTTGAGTCCCTAGAATTTGAGGAGAGAGCAAGTTTTTGAGCTATCCTGGGGGCTGTTAGAGGGTTTTGGAGAGACTGGCTATGGTGGAGACCTGAGCTTTGCATCTTCCTGGGTATGGCTGTGCTCCTCAGGGACACCCCCTCAGTCCCTTCTTACACCAGCCCAGCGACCTTGAGCCCCTTGTGCCTCTTCCCTGCAGAGACTGTGAGGACCAAGCTCCCCAAGGGTTGGGGTGGCAGCAAGTGTGCTGGGGATGTGCCCCGGAGCGGTGCKCTACAGCAACAGGCCTCCTTAAATGAGCCTGCTCAGGACCTGCGTGCATGACTCTTTCTCTTTCTGCAGTTTTTCTTTCAGGATAATTAAGCAGGCAGCAAACTAAGAAGTGGAATGAGCCRAGGAACCATCCGTTTCACAGGTGGCTGCAGCTGACTTTCCTCCCAGGACCTGCTCCTCCTGCAGCTGCGCAAGCCAAGGCTGAGGTGCAGGTGCTCCTGACTGTGATGATGGCTGATGTTCATACCCACACATCGCTGTTGGCAGGGGTCTCAGAAGGTCACTGATTGCTACTGTGTGGACACAGGCTGGCCTGAAGGTGACAGGTTATATGTTGTTATTCCATCTTGATAACCCTTGAGGTGCAGAGAAACTGCTGGTAGCTGTCTGCACCAAGACCTGATCCATTGCTGGTGCTGACAACCTGGAGCTCCACAGCTCCTGGTGGTTGGGAGGGCTGGGAAACATGCTGKGCTCACAGCTCTTCGTGGAGCATCTCTTGGAGCAGCCCGTGCTAGGGTCACCCATGGAGTCCCCAGCAGAGCTGGGAACTGGACCAGCCTCTCCAGAGCTCTAATGCCCAGCCTGGTCCACGCCTTTCTTCCCTGGGTAAAGCAACAAGCCCTGGGTAAAGCAGCAAGTGTTTTGGCCTTGCTATGGCCAGGATACTTGGAGAGAGCTAGGAGCATTTGGGATGTTGGCAGCTCTGCTAGATTCGGAGCTGGTTGTGACCTGCCAGGAGGCAGAGCACAGAAACTGGCCACCAAGGCTCTCGTTGCAGGACTTTACTCGTTGTAGATAATTATAAAGGTCCTAGCTAGCCAGAAAGCCTCCCATGCGGCTAAGATGCTCTAGGATGGGGAGAACAGCTGGATTTCTTCCCAGCGCCAAAACAGGTTTGAAAGGGTGAGAGAAGATTTAGGACTCAATGTCCAAAGCCAAGGTCCAGTTTTTGCAAAGAACTTGGTAACTCAGCTCTGCAAAGGCTGCTTGGTGGTGTTAYRTCCTCCCAGCAGTTGACTTCCTCGGTGTTTCACCTGCTCTGAAACAGGAATCCTACCCYGGGGTAAATGGGATTTCCTTCTTTCCYRGTAGCCTCCCTGCACKYCCTATTGCATTCCCTTCGGGAGGCYGCAGAACTGGCTGTTTTCCTCCTGCAAAGCTCAACCTCCAGGAGAAACTTGCTTTTTCCAGAAGAGAATGGGGGCTTTTGCTGGCAAGGTCCGTGTTTAAGCACCGGCTCTTTCYGAACTCTTGATACCAAGTGAGTTTTTATGTATTTCCTTCCTCTAGAAGGACATACACAGGCACCGCACCCATCCCAAACTTTGCATCCCTTGATTTCACGACAAGCCCTCACACACCAGGGAGCATTCCTGCCAGGACGAGAAGAACTGCAGACTTCATTAACGAACCCTGCAGCCAGGGACAAAGCCCGGGCAGGAGCGCGTGCCCTGGGCTCCGGCAAGCAGCGGCCGACGGGGGAACCTTGGCCCTGCTGGAGCTGGTRGGTGTTGCCTGAGCGGTCGGGATTTCATCCCAAGGCTGCGCGGCCAGGGAAGGGGCTGGATCTTCCTGCCTTTCCTTAGGACAGGGTAGCCTTTTCCGCCTGGATGTGCTGCAGTATTTGCTCTTTGCTGGGCTCGCAAGGTGATTTACTGCAGTTAATACCATGATGCAGCCGACCTGCATGCAGCAGTAGTTGGGATGGATCCAATCCCTAATGCTCCTCTGGTCCCAGGTTMAGTTAGCACAGGATTTGGGCAGGAACACAAGCCTAGAAGAGGCCAGCTCAGCCATTAAGTCCCAGGCAACCAGATGAGCCAGAAGCTCCAAGAGGATGTTCATCCTTCCTGCTGCAAAGCATGTGAACCTGCAAAACTCTCTCCAAAGCTCGTGGCAAATTTAAAGCCTCAGTAAATGTTGCAGGGGGCTATTCTTTTCTAGTGCTATAGCAGTGATGGAGGAATCAGCAGCGTAGCTTAAATCCTGCAGCCTTTTTAACCTGGGAGGAAATGCCCAGCTGATCTTGTGTGGTCTGAGGATGTGATGCCTTTAAGAAGGTGAGAAACCAGGAGGCAGGACCTCAAATCTGACATTCTTGGCCTCARATCTGACATTCAGTTTAACCCGAGCAGGTGAGCGGGAGCAAGTGAGTATCAGAAGTTGGGTAAGGAGCAACAAAACAAAATTCACATGTTTTGAACCACCTGAAACTCCCTGTCTATGTTGATCCAAATTGGTTCAATGTAATGCAGGTAGAGTTCATCAAGYTAAAACGGGGCCAACATAGACTGGGTGCCTGTAATCTGCTCRGACTGTGGCTTTTGCTAAGCCTGGCCACCTAGGAGACCAGAAACCATCCTGTGCAGAGCTATCCTGCAACCACCGGCGTGTTGCACGGACCGCAGAGCAGCTCCGAGGCAGCTTTGAACTGAGCATGGCATGAGCCCGACTTCCCTTACCCCCTGGCAGAGCGTGCCCCGAGCCAAAAACYGTGTATTCATTTGCATTAGTTTTATTCTTCGGTGTTACATGATTTTTAGCAGTTGTATTAGTAAAAAAGACGACACATAGATAACTCTTAGATAGTTCAGAAAAGCCTTTGGCTGTTCCTGGTGGGTGAACCCAGAAGAACACAACAAGGTAAATTAAGCACCCAGTATTCTTTGCTTGGGGGAGACTTTAAGCCGGGTTGACACCTTTATCCCTTTACTTGAAGCAGCTCAGGCAAAGGGAAGACAASTTGGCGTCCACAGGGGTGTTTCCTGCCTTTGATCATTAGGAGCACCCAACCTTCACATTCTCCTGGGTTTTGCCAAGTGCGTTGCCCACATGGGTGAATAATCTGTTATTAGCACTAGATTCCCCCCCCCAAAATTGCTCCATGAGTGTATGGAGCACCCAGAAATCGAGGATCTGGAACAAACAGGTGCCCTTCATGTCCTGCTGCTTGAGGAAGGTAGAGCTTGTCTGACTGGGATGCTCTTCTGATTCCTCTCCAGAAAAGAGGAAACCACTTGTGTATGTTGAGGGCTCAAAGAGTTAATTTGTCTTAATTACTCTCAAAGCTACTGTCTCCTGACAGCAACTTAGTCTGGGTTTATTAGGAGAGATCTATACTTCTTGCCAACGCCCTGCTGAACTTGGTTGCACTTGAATGTTTTATAAATTATTCTGTACTTTCATTGCTTTAGGTGGAAACTCAATGAGCCCTCATAATTCTGGTTTACCTCGTGCTGMGTTTTCCTCACAAAACCCCTGACAGGTAAGTGAGTTTGATGGTGGCTAAATGGCTCCTTTGAGATCTTGCTGCAGGTTTATGTTAAAAGCAGAACTAGCAAGATCAGGGCTCAAATCCAACTGTTCCTTCTGGGGGAAGGAGCAGTGTCTGAAGCAAGATGTATGTTAAATCTCCCTTTAGGAACAGCACAAGCACATCCCTGGATGCCGCACGTGCTGCGGCTGGGACCGTCGCTGCCTCCCGCCTCGCGGGCGCTGCCAAGGCGCCTGGCAAAGGGCGAGCACCTAATTTTAGGTGACAACAACACGGCTTCAAGTGCCGAGCCTTCCAAAAAGGGAAGGAATCTCCATCCTGGCYGAGTGCCTTCAGCTCCCGACTGCTCGAGGGCAGAGGGTGTTTATGCCGCCTCCGGTGTGTTAAATCTGTTGCGTGGAGACATAATCCCTCGTTGCAGCTTTGGAGGTAGCTGTTATGGAAATGGTTGTGAAACCCCTTATCTTCCTGGAGAGGGAAGGGGAGGAGGGGATTTGCACCGTGCTAATGCTTTCCAGCCCCAAATCCCACAGGGCTTCCCAGGTGCTAATTAATTAAGAGCGAGAAGGGCCTGTTCTCAATGACGGACAAGCAGAAGCAGGGGAAGAAGGGAGCTGCAGCTGGGCTGGCACAGGGACACGGTGTGCCTGGAGCTGCAGGAAGGCTCAGACGTGGCTCTCGGGATGCTCGGATCCTGGGCAGGCCTGTGGCTCCAAGGCCGGCTCCGTCCTTCCAAGGCTCCACACAGAAGATCTCTGTCCCCTTCCCACCCCAGGCCAGCGAGGACTAAGAGTGCCCTCTGCTGCACTCRCTTGCCTTGTCCTGTCATGGTAGCATCTGCTTGCTCTTTGGGAATGAACAAAATCACTTTTGTACATATTAAAAAAAAAAAAATGAACACACTCCTTGCTATTTAAAATGTTTTTCGTAATGAATTCCTAGATGTGCAGGAGCCTGGCTAGGTATTTCAGCAGCAAACTGATGCCCTGAGACACCAATGTGTTCTMTCCTGTCTTGATTTGAGGGGTAAAGAAAACCCTGCAGGGAGCTGCTGCTTTGAGCGGTGACCTTCACCCTGCACCTCCTTGGGAAACCTGCTCCTTGGGAAACAAGGGGCTGCTCCTCGCGGGACCCTGGAGTTCGTCGCTCGCTGCGGGCGGCCRCTCTCGTTCCTCGGGGCTGGCACCGCTGCAGATGCAGGGGCTGCTACGGCCCCTAATTGCGCCCAAAGGGGCTCCCCTTGCCAGCTCTCCCTCCTGCTCCAAAGGAGAAGAAAGGAAAGAGCACCACGGAGCTGGGCTCATTTAAATCCTCGGCTCTTGCAGCTACGAAGGGTTGGAGATAGGGAAAAAGGAATCAAGGAAGCTGTTCCAGGCTTTGGACTTTTGGAAATAAAGAGGGTCAAATTAAAAACAAAACAAAACAWAACTTTCTGGAGCTCTTTACCGGGATTTGATTTACCCGCGTGAACCGTGATTGAGCTACATACCCACTGGGGTCGCAGGAATCTGCTTATATTCCCCTGGAATTTGCTGCCATTTGGGGTTGCTCTCCGCATTGTCACTCAGCGCAGGGCACGCCCCGCCGCCAGCCTATTTAAAGAGGAGCCGGTGCGCGAAGAGCCAAGAAACTCCCAGGGAGCGAAGAGAGCCACGGGCTGGATCGGCAACCTGCCTGGATCGGCAACCTGCCTCCCCCTTCCCTGGGCTCGGGATGTCCGGCCGCTCGGAGGCGGTGACGGGGACTCTCCTGCTGCTGCTTCTCGCTCCCGGCTGGGTACGTGCGGCGCTGCCCGCGTTGCCGCTGCCCGCTGCTCCGCGCTGCTGCTGCCCGCGCTGCTGCTGCTGCCCGCTGCTCCGCGCGCTGCAGATGCTCCGCGCTCTGCTGCTGCCCGCTGCTCCGCGCGCTGCCCGCATTGCTGCTGCTGCCCGCTGCTCCGCGCTGCTGCTGCCCGGTGCTCCGTGCCCTGCAGATGCTCCGCGCGCAGCCCGAGCGCTGCCGCTGCCCGCTGCTCTGCGCGCTGCCCGCGCTGCTGCCGGTGCCCGCTGCTCCGCGCTGCCCGCCCAGCCGCACGCGAGCGCTCCGCGCTGAGCGGCTCCCGCGGGCGGCTCGCGAGCCGCGGGTGCCCTGCTCAGCGCCCGGCACACGGTGGTCCCGAAGCAGCCGCCAGTGGATTTGAATTCCCTTCCGTTTCCCTTCGCTCCCGTGCGTTTGCCGCCGGCGCAGCGCGCCGGGAGGGATGCGGAGGCGGGACGGCGCGGCTGAGGAGCGGGAGCAGCGCGGCCCCGAGCCGGGACCTGCCGGGGAGCAGCGGGTGCCGCTGCTGCAGGTGCCAACGTGCCTGCTAGAATAAGGTCTAAAGTGCAACAAGCRACCTGCAAAAGGAGGCGGGGGGTTTGTGCTTGCGTTAATGAACGTTTTGAAACGGTGCTTTTGGCTTTCTTGGAGAGGGAAGGGGTGTTTAGTGAATGGAGCAAGAGCTGCTATTCCTGAAAGCGGGAAGTTCCCGAGAGCAGGATGGGGACTCCTGGGCGGGTCAGGTCACCTCGGTGTCCCCGCTGCTCTGGCACGGGCTGGGAGGACTGGTCCTGCCCTCCGCAGTGCGAGGGCCSCAGTGACGGGGAGGACAGGGGTGACCGTGTCCGCGGTCACAGCCCGCACTGAGCTGCGTTTGACCATGTCAGGTACTGCCAGCCTTGGAGCGCTGAGGAGAGCCAAGGCAGTGAGTACTGGGGGAATATTGTGCCCTTTCCACCTTGAGACCGGCTCCCAAGGGCACTGCCAGCAGCATCACCCTTTCCTAACATCAGGAAGCCAGGTGTGAGCCCAACACAGTGCAAAGGTCCTCACGAGGTGGCCCCGTTAGTGGCAGGGGGAGCGTGGGTGACTCCAAAGCARTAAGAACATACTCACTTTATTTTATATATCCATATATTTTATATCCTTCCCCAGGTAGCTGGGACTCAGCCCACCATGGCGGGAGGGTGGCAGCTTGTTTGGGCTTGTCCTCCGAGCAGGTGGGACTCGGGAGCCAGTGGTGGAGAACAGTGGGGAGCAGCGAGGCGGGAGCCCCCGCTGCGGCTGCGCGGGCTCCAGCCGCGGCTCAGCCCTCGCCCGGGGYTCCTGCGGGTTGCAGATCCCCCCGTGATGCTGGTGCTCGCGGGGTGCTGCCAGCGGGGGACCCACAACCTGCGATCACCTCCRCGGCAGCCAGCCCAGCCAAGGGGCATCTCCTCCCTGGTGGGGATCCCGCGGGCTGGTCGCTCTCCTTGCTCGGGGCCGATATCCCGCCCTCTTGGCAACCCCAGCTGGGAAGCGGTTCTGGATTTTTAGCAGCTTTTAATGCACTTTTGCAGCTGCGGAGGGATCCAGCCGGGAAGGGGCTGCACAAACTCCCAGCAAGTGGTCCAGGAGCACGGGGCCCGTTCCCAAGAAAGCTCCATGCCAGGAGTTTTGGGGGTATTGGTCCGATTCCTCCTGACCACAGTGAAGCTCCGGGAGGTCTCGTGCGGGAGGGTCTGCGCTGATCCCTGTCCAGAGGAGAAGGCAGCTGGTGTCTCCCGACCCCGCGCGAGCTAAAGCCAGAGCAGCTGCTTGGAGCAACAGGCAACAGCTGGAAGAGTTTACTGCTGTTATTGGTGACAAAACACAACAGCCAAGGAAGCTGTTTCAGACGCGAGGGCTGTGTGGGATGTAGCAAGTGCAAACAAAGCTGTAGCAGGATTTTTTTTTCTGTTTTTCTTTTCTTTTTTTTTTTTTTTTTTCCTTTGCCTCCTGGATATCTGTTCCAGGTGTCCCTCCCCTCTCTCCCTTGCCCAGTTTTCCTGCAGCTGCAGCTCTGCCATCCCTCTGAAACCACAGGGAGAATTTTAAGGAGCAGAAGCAGCCTGGCAACGCGGGTTAGAATTGGCACCCTGATATTTTTCAATGGAGATTCAAGAGAGGAGATTTCAGGCCTCTTTTCCGAGGTAGTTCTGTGCAAGGAGGGCACTTCCTGACCCTTGGCAGTATTTGAGGCACGTGCTCTTCCCAGGGCAGGTGACCCTGCTTTGGACACGGTCTTGCCTCTCGTTGGTGTCTAAATGGCATCGAAGCCAAGGCCAATGAGCAGCCCTTGGAGGTGCCACCGAGCTGCGGCGGTGCCGGGGACCCGCCTGTGGCTCCGAGAGGTCTCGAGGAGCGCCGGGTACGTCGCACTGAGCGCAYGGAGCGCAGGGGAGAGAGCCCCTCTCTGGAGCTACCAAAGAAAGTCACCAAAGAAATGGCATCTGGGGGGTCCTGCCGGGGTTCTCAGCTCCACCCAAGCGCCGCTGGCTGATGCGGGGCGAGTCGCTTCTGCGTCACGCGTTTCCCCGCGCGGCRCTGCTGCGGCAGGGAGCTTTGCTCTTCCCGCCCGGAGCTGGCGAGGTGAGAGCCGAGCGTCGCTCCTCGCTGAGAATTCCTGCTCTACGGCTTGCAGGGCTGCGCTGTGCGCAGGAGCCCCAGCTCCTGAGCGTCCTGTCTGCTCCCCCGCCGCTTCCCCGAGGCCCTGAGCGCCAGATGAGCTGCGGATGGGGCCAAGATTGATCCCTGCGCGCGGAGCGCGGCGCTGGCGAGGGGCGGGTGGCGCGGGCTGGGGCAGGCGCAGGGCTCCCATTGCTCCCACTGCCCCCCCATCACGCTGTGGGTGTCTCTGCAGGCGGCGGCGCAGCCCTGCGCCCGGCCCTGCCGCTGCCCCGCGCAGCCGCCGCGCTGCCCGGCGGGCACCAGCCGCGTGCCGGACGCGTGCGGCTGCTGCAAGGTGTGCGCCCGGCAGCTGGGCGAGCGCTGCTCCGCGCGCCAGCCCTGCGACCACCACAGGGGCCTCTACTGCGACCTCGCCAAAGGCCACAGGGGCAGCGGCATCTGCCTAGGTGAGTCCTTCCCTCCTTCCCTCCTTCCCTCCTTCCCTCCTTCCCTCCTTCCCTCCTTCCCTCCTTCCCTCCTTCCCTCCTTCCCTCCTTCCCTCCTTCC